ACAGTCTAAAACCTTTGGGATGCAGCAAAGGCAGTCGTAAGAAGGAAGTGTATAGCAATACAAGCCTTTCTCAAGAAACAAGGAAGGTCTCAAATACACAACCTAAACTTACACCTAAAGGAGCTAGAAAAGGAAAGCAAATAAAGCATAAAGCCAGCAGAACCTGGGAAATAATAATGATTAGAGCAGAAGTCAATGATATAGAAACAAACAAAAAAAACCAATAGAACAGATCAACAAAAGTAGGAGCTGGTTCTTTGAAGGAATTAGCAAAATTGATAAATCACTTATGAAAAAGAAAAGAGCAAGGACCCAAATAAATAAAATCATGAATGAAATAGGAGAGATCAAAACAAACCCACAGAAATACAACAATTGTAAGAAAATATTATGAAAAATTATATGCCAACAAATTAGACAATCTGAAAGAAACGGACAAATTCCTAGAAACACATAAACTACCAAAACTGTAACAGGAAGAAATTGAAAATTTGAACAGCCCCATAACCAGCAAAGAAATTGAATCAGTAATCAAAAATCTCCCAACAAACGAAAGTCCAGGGCCAGATGACTTCCTAGGGGAATTCTACCAAATATTTAAAGAAGAGTAAATACCTCTTCTTTTAAAACTATTCCCAAAAAATGGAAATGGAAGGAAATCTTCCCAAGTCATTCTGTGAGGCCGCCATCACCTTGATTCCAAAACCAGATAAAGACCCCACTAAAAAGGAGAATTACAGCCAATATCCCTGATGAACATGGATGCAAAAATTCTCACCAAAATACTAGCTGATAGGATGCAACAGTACATTAAAAGAATGATTCACCATGGTCAAGTGGGATTTATTTCTGGGCTGTTGGTGTGCTTCAATGTTTGCAAATCCATTGACGTGATACATCACATCCCTCTGCCCCTTAATTAATAAAAGAAAGGACAAGAACCATTTGATCCTCTCAATAGTTGCAGAAAAACCATTTGACAAATACAGTATCCTTTCTTGATAAAAACCCTCAGGAAAGTAGGGATAGAAGGAGCATGCCTCAATATCATAAAGGCCAAATACCAAAAACACACAGCTAATATCATCCTCAATGAGGAAAAACTGAGAGTTTTTCTCTATAGTTAGGAACAAGACAGGGATGTCCACCCTCAACTTGTTATTCAACATAGTACTGGAAGACCTAGCCTCAGCAATCAGAAAAAAAAAGAAATAAAAAAAATCCAAATTGGCAAGAAAGAAGTCAAACTTTCATTATTTGCAGATGACATGATACTCTATGTAAAAAACCCAAAAGACTCCATCAAAAAATTGCTAGAACTAAACCATGAATTCAGCAAAGTCGCAGGATATAAAGTCAATGTACAGAAATCTGTGGCATTTCTATACACCAATAATAATAAAGCAGAAAAAGAAATCAAGGAATTGATCCCATTTGCAACTGCACCAAAAATCATAAGCTACCTAGGAGTAAACCTAATCAAAGAGGTAAAGGATCTGTACTCTGAAAACTATAGAATACTTATGAAAGAAATTGAGGAAGACACACAGAAATGGAAAAAACATTCCATGCTCATGGATTGGAAGAACAAATATTGTTAAAATGTCTATGCTACCTGAAGCAATCTACACATTCAATGCAATCCCTATCAAAATACCACCTGCAAGCCCAACATGGTGATGCACAACAAGGCGGCGCCTCCGCAGATCCCAGACACCCGGCAGGAGCTGGCGGAGCTCCTGAAGTGGAAGCAGGAGCTGGCGGAAACACTGGCAAACTTGGAGAGACAGATCTATGCTTTTGAAGGAAGCTACCTGGAAGACACTCAGATGTATGTCAATATTATTCGTGGCTGGGATCGGTATCTGACCAACCAGAAAAACTCCAATAGCAAAAATGATCAAATGAACCGGAAGTATAAGGAAGCTGAGCGGCTCTTCAGTAAATCCTCAGTTACTTCAGCAGCTGCAGTAAGTGCATTGGCAGGAGTTCAGGATCAGCTCATTGAAAAGAGGGAGCCAGGAAGTGGGACGGAAAGTGATACTTCTCCAGACTTCCACAATCAGGAGAATGAGCCCAGCCAGGAGGACCCTGAGGACCTGGATGGATCTGTGCAGGGAGTGAAGCCTCAGAAGGCTGCTTCTTCTACTTCCTTAGGGGGTCATCATGTCAGCCGTAAAAAACGAAAGAATAAAAACCAACACAGGATTGATCTGAAGTTAAACAAAAAACCACGAGCTATTAGAAGACTCATTAGTGCAGAAGCTTCCAGGCTGTAGAGCCCTGCTTCCCTCCTCCAACCTCACAAAGATACATATCCCTCACCTGAGTGTGCGGCCATCCACCTCTGCTTTCCCAGACCCAGTGCTTGTGACTCTGAATAGTTTGTTCTGAAACGTGGTGACAAGCCATTTCTGTAAGACCACATTGGATCATTTACTGTGTGTCATTTTTAGTAACAGAACTGCAAGAAGACCAAGACATGGTTATAATTCCAGCAAGTTGTTAACTGTGCATTTCTCCCTTCTTGGAATGAATGTGTCCCCCCGAACTGGCTTGCACCAGCTTCATCTGTGATACCCATTGAGAAATGTTCTCTGGTTTTGTTTTATGCTGAAGTTAGAACATAGGTCACGTTTCAGAGGGAGGCTGTAAATACTGGGCATTTTCTTATTTTGTTTGTGTTTTATTATTTTTCTATTGTTTTTACCATCTTCTTTTCTTTGGGGACTTTCTGTAATGCCATTGTACAGCTCATACCTTCCTGCCGACATATCTGATCATCTGCTTCATGCAATTGCCAATAATCTTCACTGAAAATAATCTGGTTTACCATAAAGAAAATGGGGAACTTGGCTCTGTGTTTTTGCAGGGGGAAGGTAAAGAGGGTTTATTTAATAATTACCTATCTTAAATCTTTCTGCGTTGGAGGCAGTTTCATATTCAAGGAACAGGAAAAGCTGAAAAACCTAAGTTTAAATCAATCCTTTTAAAATAGATATTTTTATTCTTTTATATAAATAAAATTTCGCAGGTGTTGACTTCTCATGCTTTACTTTTAAACCTGAAAAAAAAAATACCACCAGCATTTTTCATAAAGCTAGAACAAACACTCCTAAAATTTGTATGGAACCACAAAAGACCCCCGAATAGCCAAAGCAATCTGGAAAAAGAAAAGGAAAGCTGGAGACATCACAATTCTGGACTTCAAGCTCTATTACAAAGCTATGGTCATCAAGACAGTATGGTACTGGCACAAAAACAGACAGATCAGTGCAACAGAATAGAAAACTCAGAAATGGCCCCACCACTCTATGATCAACTAATCTTTGACAAAGCAGGAAAGAATAGCCAATGGAAAAAAGACAGTCTCTTCAACAAATAGTGCTGGGAAAACTGGACAGCCACATGCAGAAGAATGAAACTGGACCACTTTTTTACACCATACACAAAGATAAACTCAAAATGGATAAAAGACATAAATTTTTTTAAGATTTTATTTATTTAAGAGAGAGTGAGCAAGAGAGAGCCCAAGCCAGGGGGAGACGCAGAGGGAGAAGCAGACTTCCCACTGAGCAGGGAGCCCAAGGCAGGGCTCGATCCCAGGACCCTGGGATCATGACCTGAGCCAAAGGCAGATGATTGAACCACCCAGGTATCCCAAAAGAACTACATTTGCGACAGGAAACCATCAAAATCCTAGAGGAGAACACAGACAGCAACCTCTTTGACCTCAGGCATAGCAACATCTTACTGGACATATTTCTGGAGGTAAGGGAATCAAAAGCAAAAATGAACTATTAGGATTTCATCAATATAAAAAGCTTCTGCACAGTGAAGAAAACAATCAACAAAACCAAAAGTCAACCTACAGAATGGGAGAAGATATTTGCAAATGACATATCTGATAAAGGGTTAGTATCCAAAATCTATAAAGAACTTATCAAACTCAACACCTAAAATATAAATAATCTAGTTAAGAAATGGGCAGAACAAACATTTTTCCAAAGAAAATATCCAGATGGCTAACATATACATGAAAAGATGCTCAACATCATTCATCATCAGGGAAATACAAATCAAAACAATGAGATACCACCTCACATCAGTCAGAATGGCTAAAATCAACAACACAGGAAACAACAGATGCTGGTGACAATGCAGAGAAAGGGGAACCCTCTTGCACTGTTGGTGGGAATGCAAACTGGTGCGGCCACTCTGGAGAACAGTATAGAGGTTCCTCAAAAAGTTAAAAATAGAACTACCCTAGGACGCAGCAATTGCATTAGTAGGTATTTACCCAAAGGATAAAACAGTACTAATTTGAAGGGGCATATGCACCCTGATGTTTACAGCAGCATTATCAACAATAGCCATATTATGGAAAGAGTCCAAATGTCCATTGACTGATGAATGGACAAATAAGATGTGGTATATATATTCTACATGGAATCTACACAATGGAATATTTCAGCCATCAAAAAGAATGAAATCTTGCAATTTGCAATGATGTAGATGGAACTAGAGTGTATTATGCTAAGTGAAATGAATCAGTCCAAGATAGACAAATACCGTATAATTTCACTCATATTGGAATTTAAGAAACAAAACAGTTGAACATGGGAAAGGGAAAAAAAAAGAGAGCGAAACAAACCATAAGAAACTCTAAGCTAGAGAGTACAAACTGAGGATTGCTGGAGGGCAGGTGAGCAGGGGGGTGGGCTAAATGCATCATGGGTATTAAGGAGGGCACTTATTGTGTTGATCACTGGGTGTTATATGTAAGTGATGAATCACTAAATTCTACTCCTGAAACGAGTATTACACGGTAAGTAGAATTTAAATAATAACTTGAAAAAAAAACCCACTGGGTAATATATGTTACCCAATCCTAATCACAAATGTAAAATAATTAAGAAAGCTGGGTTTCTAAGGCTACCTCTGCTCCTAGTGACAAAATGGCAGGACTAATTATTTGACTTTATACAGAATGCCTATTTCAAACCCCTAATCAGTTTTATGTTTTTGGAGCCTAGATCTTGTGTGTCCTCTTCACCTTGTATCCCCAGCACTAGCACAGAACCTAGCTCTTAGAATGTGTTCAGTATATGTTTGATGGATCCAAGAATAAATGTTAATAGTGAAACACTAAAGACATTCTTGTTAAAATCAGAGATAAAGAAAGTTGCTTGTTATAACCCATTATTATTTAATATTTTCTGGAATTTCTGGTTAATGCAATAAGATGAGAATTTTAGAAAAGAATCAATATTGGAATTTGAAACCAAATTATCATTATTTACAAATGCTGTGTTTATATGCTTAAAAAATCCAAATGAATTAATTAAAAGGCTCTCAGAGCTAAGAGGAAACAATAAGTTGACTATGAGGAAAACAAATTGTAGCTTTCCTATAAAGCATAATGGCAGAAGGAAAAAAATCTAATCACCAATACAACAACAACACTAACAAAAATTCAAATGCCAAAGAATAATCTCTATAAATATAAAGACAATTTACCAGAGTTTAGGAAGACATTAACCAAAGTCTTCACTACGAAGACCTGCCTCATTTCTAGCTTAGAAAACTAAGTATTGAGGGGAGGGGGGAAAGATGGCAGAGGAGTAGGGGACCCTATTTCAACTGGTCCCCGGAATTAAGCTGGATATCTACCAGACCACTCTGAGCACCCACGA